AGATGGGTGGATTTTGTGCGAGGACTACGTTAGCCAGTCATGAGGGGTATTTCACCTCCTTGATGTGCTTGATGGAGAGGAGCATGGCGACCTCCTTCTTCACAAAATCCCTTCTCTCGGCCGAGAGGGGTCTTCTTCGCTGCTGTACAGGTTTGACCGAAGGGTCCACCGAGAGGCGGTGGGTGATGACCCCTCGGCTGATTCCGGGCATATCCTCCGGCCCTAATGCAAAAACAATGGAGTAGGTGCGGAGGGCTTCAGTTATGCCGGTCTTCAGGTCTTCGGGGAGCTTGGCTCCAATCTTCACAACTCTCTCCAGCTTGGCCGGATCGAGTGCGAAGTCTTCTACCTCCTCGGTGGGCTCAGTCCTCGGCCTCTTCTCTTCTTCCTCCACGGTTCCGGTGATGGTGTCAACACGGAACTCGGTCTTACTAACCTTCTTCGTCACTTGAAGGTAGCAAGCGCGAGCAAGTTTTTGATTCCCCCTTGAGTACCTGATGCCTCCTTCGGCGGGGAATTTGAGGCACAGATGCCTCATGGAGATGATGGCCTCGAGGTCTTCGAGGGCTAGTCTGCCGAGGATGATGTTGTGGGGGCAGTCGATGTTGACAACGACGAACTCCACTTCGAGCTTGGCTCTATGGAGCCCGTCACCGAATAGTACCGGGAGGGTAATGACCCCCTCGGAATCAATGGTGTCTCCGATGAAGCCGACGAGAGGGGTCTTGATGGGCCGAAGGGACCCCCTCTCCAGATGCAGCTCTCTAAATGTGCTGAGGTACATTACATTGACGGAGCTGCCCGTGTCAATGTAAGTTCGGTGGATGATGGTGTCATTGATCTCCGCACGGATGACGAAGGCATCCCTGTGCGGAGAGGAAGCCAGGGGGAGATCGGCGTTCGTGAAGGTGATGGGTTCTTCCCTTAGCCGCTTTACCGGGGGCATATGAGTGACTTCCCTCACGTATAGCGATTGAGCCCACTTCTTCCGCTGGCTGGTGGAGTCCCCTACTGTGTTGCCCCCAGTGATCATATGGATGTGGCGCTTTTTCTCCTGGTACTGGCTGTACTCCTCCTCCTCATCAATGTTTCCAATCTCCCTTTTCTTACCCTTAGGGTCTCCGAGGGGGATGGTGTTTGGGTTGACCCAAACGTTTGCTTTCTTGGGGGGGCCCTGGTAGTGAGGGGTCCCCTAAGGTGGACGGCCCCTGACGAATTGGGACAGGTGGCCTGCCTGTATCAACCTTTCAATGGCCATCTTCAGCTGATGGCAGTCGTCGGTGATGTGCCCTTGGTTGCGGTGGAACCGACAATAAGGATAATTGGGGTTGACGGCGTATACCTCTAGGGGTGCACGAGAGTCGCGCTCCACAAGGCCCCTCTCCTCAGCGAAGTCTAGGATGACACTGACGGGGTGCGTCAAGGGAGTTCGAGGGTGCTCCAAGAGAATGGGCTGGGCCCAAGCCTTCAGGTTTCCCTTGTAACCTACCCTGAGCTTGGCTTGGCCATGCCGGGGGCGATTGCTGGGGGCGCCGAAACCTTGGATTGATTATGGGGAGCCCCCGATCCCCGGTTACCCTTGTCATCTGGCCGAGGGCATTGCTGATCGGGGTTGTGATGACACTTTTCCACCTCCTCGGCCTCGGCGTACCGGTCCCCCCGCTGCAGGGCCCTTATGTAATCGCGGGGAGGTTCGATGATGAGACTTCTTGAAAAGTTCCCGGGGCGAAGGACTGTTTGAAGGAGGGCCAGGAGGGTCCCATCGTCAGCGCCATCAACTTTATCAGCCTCCGTCCTCCAACGTTCCAAGAAGTCCCGAAGGGTCTCCTCCTTCTTTTGTCTCACTATCAGCAAGTGGGAGAAATGTTTTCTTGACCGGCGCCTTCCTGCAAATTGCGTCATAAAGCGTTGGGCGAGTTCTTGCCATGAATCGATGCAGCCTTCGGGCAGTCGGTTGAACCATTCGTACGTTGGTCCCTCCAAGGTGGAGAGGAACCAACGACACAAATATTCACCCGATGCCCCCACCATCATCATGCTGTTTTGGTAGCGGCTGTAATGTTCCCGAGGGTCCGTCTTTCCTTCATAGGGCCTGATGGGCTGCCCCCGGTATTTTTCCGGAATTCGGGCTGCCAATACCCTTGGGGTAAATGGCGTCCTAGTCCGGAGTTGGATGACGGGTTCCCCGGAGCCTTCAGCTATTTTCTTCTGCATTTCCTCCATTTTGGCCAGCATGGCTTCATATTTCGGATCTGCATGAGGGATGGCGACGGCGGTACGCGCTTGATGAGCCTCCATCTCATTAAGCCGGTGCTGGAGGGCCGCAATGATTTCGTCCCTGAGATCCTTCGGGGGGGGGGGGGGGGGCTCCGCCCCCTGCGAACGAACATGGGCCGAGTGGGCCTGATTGATTTGGTGCCTTGCATCATCGGGATGAAGTGGTGCCTTGCCTTTGTCCTGATGGGGATGCCTCTCGTCTGCCCTTGAGACGGATCCCCCGCTCTCTTGGGGTCTTTGGGACGCCTTTCCACCGAGACGGTCTTGGACCCCTCGGTGGTCTTACGCCCCTCCGAGCCTCTCGAGGGCTGAGGTCTGAGGCCTTTCTTTGTTCGCACCGTGTTGGTCCCGAGATTGGACCTCCTGGGAAGCAGTGTCTTGAGCCACGACCCCTTCGCCGTCCCCCACCCGAGGGGTAGGGTTCACGAAGGGGGGCGGTCGTGGGAGAAGAACAACGTTCTCCCCGACTTGCGGTTGAAGGGGTACCAGGGTGCCGAAGGCACTTGGGTTTTGAGTGAGTGTCTGGATGAAGGCAGAGAATGCCGATTGTACGTCGATAGTGAGAACCGGAAGGCTCACTTGATTTTCGCTCCGGTCCCTCCTTCGGGTTTCGATGTCGAGGCGGGCATCGGGAGCGTTTTGTTGAAGCTGAAGGCGCAGGTCAACAACAGCCTGTTCCAACTCAGTGATGACCCCGCCCTCGGAAGACTTGTTAGAGGCTTCGGGGGCATTGACTTCACCGAGGGCCAGATTGTTGTCCTCAAGGTTCTTGGACTGAGCACGGGTGGTTCTTCCCATTTTAGTAGGTGTTTTTTAGCTGAAGGGAAGGTTTTCTTACTTGATTGTTCGAGCTCTCAACGAGAGCACCAAATGATGGATAAGTGTACCCGGGGGTATCTATCCGAGAGGTTACTGCGGGGAGTAACTAGAGAGAAGCCAGAGCAAGAGTAAGAGAGAGAATGTATATTGCTGAGAATGTGTTGAGCGTATTCAGCCTGGATTACAAATGAGGAAAGGGGTGCTATTTATAGTAGTAATAAATGTCAGATAGGGACACGTGTCATCATTCTGGTGGTCGAGGGGTCACCTCAACGGGGTGGCACTGGCACTCACATGTGGCCGCATTAAATGCGGTGGGTGGATATGACGTTTGTACTCGGTACGTTGATCCGGCGCATGTGGGTGGGAGATTCTGTCGAGGAGATGCCTTCGGCCGTAGATGATTGGCCGAAGGCTCTTCATACCGGGGGCCTCTAGGTGCCGAGGGTCTAGGTGCCGAGGGCTACTGTTTTTGCCGCTTTCTCCCAGACACTTTGAGGGATTTAAAGAAGCTGTACTGTAAGTTTATGAGCCTTCGGCCAGGGGGCCGAAGGCACCCCAGTGTTCGTCGTGGGCTGTTCGGCACTTGGGGCGCTGTGATCTAGGCCTGCTGTGCTTCCTGGGCCTATTGGGCATTCGCTACAGTAGTGGGAGTCTATGGGCCGGGGGTTCCTGGGCCATATACTCCATCACCGGGTGATAGGCAGGGAAAAATAGTAGATTCTGATCAAGAGACAGGGAAACATGAGAGCTATCTGGTGGAAGGATTATTGGCAAAGGGGGAAAGAGGCTACTACAGAACGGGATACGCCTAGAAAGCGCCGGATCATTGATAAAGATAGCGAGATGGGGACTGAGGCGAGCATGGATGTTGATGATGCTTCTTCAAAAAACTTGGAAGTGGCGGTGCTGGCGGGACAGCACCGCTAGTAGCGGGAGAAGAGGAGAATATGTAGTTCTTTCCTTTAGCAAAGGCTGGTCAAATCGCTATTCCCTTGCCAGTGGCTGGTCAAACTGGATTATGTTCTTTTTCAATTTCTTTTTTAGTTTTGAACTCTTTGCTCTCTTATTACCATAATAGTAGTAGGTACAACAGTGTTCTGTATGGAGTCTACCACATTGTGGGGTTAGCGAGATGGACCGCTAGTAAGTGCGATTCCAGCTCTGAATCTCACCCCAACGTAGCCTTTGTTATGCGATTTTGTATCTGGTCCTCAGTTTTAATAATAATTAAGTTATCTGTTTTCAAAAAAAAAAACTCATGATTTTATTTGGCTTTGTAATAGAATACTTGAAAATGGAGAAGTAAAGATGAGGTGTGTGATTCCAATGTCAAGTGAGTTCATGCATTTATAGTAATATAGTTCTTTGATGCTTTCACCAAGTGGAGGATACACCCAATTTATTATGTATGGATACACCAAGTGGAGAATAACATCCAATGTGTTATGAAAAGGACACACATCGTGGAAAAGAGAATCCAATGTCGTATAATGTTATATGAATGACACAAGAAAAGAGAATCCAATGTGATATGAATACACACAACAAGTTGAAAAGGGAATCATTGTGTTGTGGATAGACACACAAGTTGAGAAGAGAATCCAATGCTCTAATATGTTTGAACACACTTCATCGAAAAACGTAAAAAAAAATAGTAATGAAATTTATTTATTTTTACATCGGAATGTGTCTTTTTTATTTTATAATTAATCAGAGAAAAAATTAAAAGAAAAACATTACTTATAATAATTTAATAAATGTTTACTAGAATGCAAAAAACGTGCAGAGTTTATTTTATTGACGGTGCTAGAATGCAAAGAAATAAGAGTCAAAATACTTTTTATTTTATTGACGATCCATTTTTTACATTTAGACTCTCACACTATTCCAAACGGGTCTAACATTGAAAAAAATTGACTCCGAAACTGATACTCAGTTACTCACACAATAGTCTGGAGTCTGGAGTCTGGAGTATTTTAGGCAATTTCTCTAGTTTATGTACTACTCCGTATATCTGAAGGATTGATTAGCTACGGCAAAGTGTACCTAAAGATGGAAGACGGAAATGGAGCTCAGATATATCATGAAAGACAGAGGTTACAATTCTGCCTCTTACACTCCCTCAATAATCTATTTCAGGTACACTTGTAATCCTCACCTTTCTTTACTTTCCTCCTAATTTGTTGCGTCAATATTTTGCTTTATGCGTGCGTATAAATTCCCAATTTCGAAAAACTGTATCTAATCCTATTTAACAAAGCCCCTTTCTTCGATTACTAGAAAGAATGAAGATAACATAAATTTGATATAATCTTGATTATTATAAATTATATCGACTTGAATTGGTATTCCATTAAAAAAAACAGTCTTCAGTTAAATTAGGGTTTTCACTTGAGCCCATTTCTTGATTAATCATATACTCCGTACATTATATTATAATTGTATTTCTATTTAATTTCTGTTGTAATTCTGGAGAGGCAAGCATTTACCAGAGCTGATTTGGATTCCATTTCCGAAAGACTGGATATTGATGATCCAAACAAGGGAAAATGGTCACCAACGTCTGTGGTTTTTAAGTCTCATCATAACGTTATCACAGGGAATTATGACATAAACGTTTTGATCGCTGCACTTGAAGGAAAAGGGAAGGGTGTAGTTTGGCATGACCGGCGAATGGGAGCTTCTGCTATTGACCTTGGTGGTAAAATTATGGGTATTATAGTAAATGTACCTGTCAGAAGGTTTGCTGGCCTGTGGAGGGCTAGGCATTGGGTTGCTTTAAGAAAAATTGAGGAGGTTTGGTATAATTTGGACAGTGATTTTTCTGCTCCTTATGCTTTTGAAGATATAGAAGGAGTTAGGAATTTTTTGGATGGAAGAATTGCTTCTGGCGCTGAAATTTTACTTGTTAGTGATGAAAAACAGTGATGAGACTTTGAATCCTTATATGAAGCATGTATCTTTTTTGGAAATTGTGGACTGCGATTTCATGTACATTCTTCTGTATGAGATAGCTGATGCTTACTTGTGTTTAGTTAGGGTTAAAATTATCTTGATTCTTGAGCAACTTCATATTGATCTGTTTTTTCTCTTATTTGTTTATGTTTTTTCCTTCTATGCAGTAAAAGCAAGTTTGCTACCTGCTAAGTGAGTATGCAGTATGATATTAGTTCCTGTTTGGCTATATACGTATTATTTTTTTCTTTTCAGCTAGGTAGATGATCCACCAAACAGTAACTTACTTGACTATGTGCTGATTAATATTAGAGTAATAAAACAAATTAATGTAACTTTTTATTGAAATTTAAAGAACAGCATCTCTACAGAATCATTTTTATGTAGAATTTAATGTATTTTTTAGGAAAAAAATGTGTTTTCTAGACGGTATGCACTGAATGCATTTTCTTGCTTGAAAGATAGAAACAAGCTTTTCTTGGAAGCATTTTTCGAGCATCTTAGGCTGAGTAATGACTTAATACAATCTTGTATGTTTGGGATCGAAAGGCTGTGTATGCTGTAACTGTAAAGATTCAGTAAAGTATTCTTGATGATAAAGAAATTCCCCTACTTTTCTATTTACCTTAACTTTTTTTTGAATAGCACTATCTGAGTGTCAGGTTTTACCCAAATGTTCTATATAAAACAAGGAATTACTTTTTAAAAAAGAATTTGCTTAAAGAACTATGTAATAAAGAGTGTTTTAAACTGTGAAACTTGTAGCCTTGTAGGTAAACTTGTGACAGCATTGAGCAGTCACTGTTGAAGAGTGAACATCGCCCCAAGTTAGAAGTTTTTTCTTTTTTGGTGTAATTTCCCAAAAATAAAATTCCCAAGGGGTTGGAGTTGCAGTACTAATTCCCTTGTTATCTTTAACTGATTTTTTGAGTTTAATCTGGTTATAAACTGAGTTCTCTCTGGTGTTAAAATCACACCAAACTTTGTGTTTTGGGATTGCTTAGTTAAATATATTAGGCTTTCACAAATGGAAATCCGAAAACAGTGAAATATGTTTTTTTCCTGAATGCAAGAATGTTGATGAATTTTTGAATAGGAGACCTCAAAGCTAAATTAAGATGGTCGGAAATTAATTAATGAACAAAATTCACATACATAATAATAAATCAAGTCGTCAACACTTAAAAATTCATTAAAACATCATTTAAGTTGTGCCCTACGTGACTTCAAAGTATAAAATTCATCAATAATAGAATCTAGATCTATATTATTGACAAAGTCTCGTTCAATGAAGATCATCAATGAATCTTCAAGAAAAATCTCCCATTTTGTTACGAAGTGCCGACTTCACATGTTTCATTGCTGAAAATGCTCTCGTTTAATGCTCTTTCCGTAGTAGCAGTAGAAACAGGTAGGGTCAAAACTAGACGAATTAGTCTCGTCAACGTAACATAGATTTCTGATTTCTCACTCTCCGTCAAATGTTGACATAACTCAACAAGTGTCAACGCTTCAGATGTTGAAACAATATCATGCTTGTAGTGAATCAACTCATACTCAAGTGAGACGATGTCTTGATCTGTGAAATCTGCAGGATAAAACTTTTTTGCAAGTTTACAGATATCCTCACTATTAAATGAGTTGAAGGAGTTTTTGGGATCCAAAGCAAGACTAAGTTGAAGTAGTTCCATGGATGTATCATTAAAGCGCGTGCCTAACTCAGTCAAAGTAAAATCAATCGCTTCATTGAAGACATCAAAATGATAATGATGTTCTATTGTTGGTTGGAAATGAGAACGCCCAATCTTATATGGATCACCCAAATTTGGAACATCAATATCATTTGAAGAGCAAAACCTCTCGACTTCTTTAAGAAAATCCTCCCAACCAGATGCTCTTAACTCTGCAAGGATAGTTTTAGTAGTACCAACAAATGTAATAGCACTCAAAATATCAAGAGTTTTATTTGAAGAACCTGGCAAAGAGAATACGTTATTCTCAGAAGTTTATGCATCAAGTGTAAGACAAACACGAATTCAAAGCTTGCCATTTTTCTATAGGTCCCAAGAACTTCAGCTTTAGATCTCCCATTTGGAGAGTTCTCAACCAAATGTTCAAACACTTTGCAAGTTGCGGCATACATATCTATCAAACTCTTCACGGAGAAATAGTGAGAACCCCAACGAGTAGATCCCGATCGTTGCAAATTACCAACTTGATTTGCGCCACGTCCCAACTCGCGCTCCCCGGTTGCTAATAACTTCTCAATTTCACTTCTTTGAGACACGTGCAACTCCGATACCCGCTTTGGTGAAGAAGTGATAATATTAACAATATTATCCAAGTGAGAGAAGAATTCCCAAATTAAGCTAACATCCTTAGCCGCAGAAACCAACGCAAATTGTAAGCGATGTGCAAAACAATGAATGTAATATGCATAAGGAAAATCTCTACGAAATAATGCCTGAAGGCCATTAAATGAACCTCGCATATTACTCCCACCATCATACCCTTGGCCTCTCATTTTTGAAAGTTGGAGGTCATGATGACCAAGCACATCACATATTTTACATTTCAAGGTAGTTGCTACAGTGTCACTAACACTTCTGATGGCAAAGAACCGCTCTGTAAGAATTCCCCTGTTGTTCACAAACCGTATAATAATCGCCATCTACTCCTCTTTAGATATATCTTGTGTTTCATCAACAAGAATGCAAAAACAACTATTTGCAATTTCTTCACGAACCATTTGACAAACTCTATTCGCCATTATTTCAAGATCTCTTTTTGAATGTTGGGAGCAATGTACTGAGCATTTTTAGGAGCATTCTCAAGTACAACTTTATGAACTTTGGTATTCATAGTCACAAAAGCTTTCACTAGTTCAATAAAATTTCTCCGATTTGATGATGTTACAGATTCATCATGACCTCTGAAGGCACAACCTTGAAGTGCTAACCATCGGACAGTTATAATAGAAGTTCTCAATCGCAACCGATTTTTATCCTTTTCTTGTTGCGTTTGGGCGTGAAAAACATTCTTAATATGGCCAGATGGTTGCCTCAAATTTGCAGCTCTTTGAACACACATCATATGAGGTGTTTTTTCTGAAATACCAATGTGTTGAAGAAATGCACATTGACTTCCTTGATTTACCCTCTTCCAACTTTGAAATCCTTCGTTAACTAATGCAGAAGTAGTATGCATATGAATGTCACTCAAGAAAAGAAGGAGAAAAAACAGTAAGCTTTTTCAGTCACAGGTGAGTACTCTAACCAATTAAACTTGTCAAACCAGTGTTTCTGAAAACTTCGGTTTTGAGCTCCAAACTTTTTAACTGGATACGCTTCCATTCTCGGTTGATATATAGGGCCCAACATTTAGATATGCACGTCTCACTTCATCTCGCACATTGACATGATGTTCATGAATTTGCTTTCTTTTTCTCGGTTCCCTCTCAATGGAAAAAGATGTTGGCAACTCCGAATTTGAGATATTTTGGATTTCAGGGACTAGGGCATGTGGAGGAACCTCATTGACTAGATCTTGCACTATCGTAGGTATAGGTTCATAACTCCCTTCACCAGTTTGACGATTCACTTTTGAAAAGAATGATGAAATTAACTTCTTTCCCTTCTTGGCAACATGTTCATTATCCATTCTAAAAAAACATTTTCAATATTGGTATATATTAAAATAATTATATAAAAAATATAACTAATAAGGAACTATTTAATTAAATCATTGTATGATTCCCTAGCCCTAAAACTCTACAATGATAAAAATAAATACATTAATAGTTTAATACACAATCGGTCAATCACAGTTCACAGATTCACAACAGAAGTGCATAACTTCATTGATTCACAAATCAAAGTTCAACACCAACTCACCAAGTCACCAAGAGGCAAGAGGAATTACCTGGACTGCTGGTCGCTGGACAACTGGTCGAGAGAGAGAGGCCGGAGGCAGAGCGTCGGCGCATCACCGCTGTTCACAGCTCTAGTTTCAGTCTGGACGCATGCTTCAGTGCGGTCGTGCGGAGCACTTCCGTCAACCGTCGCCCACTCACCCACTCGCCCGTTCCGTTCGTACTTCGTCCCTTCGCGACTTCGCGTAAGCGGTAAGCTGGGTTCTTGACTTGTTTCTATGGGCTGGACTGGGAATTATTTGTGGGGTGGGTTGACAATTAAATTTAGGGTGGGCTGAGAATTGAAAATGTGCCAATACTATTAAAAATTTTTTTTGCCCTGGGCTGAAGCCCACCCTTGGTCAGGCTAAGATCCGCCTGTGTTGAACAATATAATTTTAAAGTAGATTTCAAAATATCATCATAATGATTTACTAGTATTCCACCCGTGCGTTGCACGGGGTGTAAGATACAAATATTATAAATATAAAAAATATCATTTTGCCTCTAAATCAAATTAAAGATTATATTATAATTCATCACAGGAATGAGAGTAACCACTACTAAATACATAATAAAAAAATATTTGGAGTTTAATATGCATACAATTTTACAAATTATTGAATACTTCTTTGTAGCCAACATTTTTTGCGGTCTTTTTTCGATTTCCCTCATTGTCGCATATCCCGAACTTCAATCCAGACGGACTTGTCACCCTCGAAACTGCAACATATAACTGCTCATGTGTAAAAACTGGATGTCGTTGAAAAACACCCACATTCTCTAACGATTTTCTTTGGCTCTTGTTCATCGTCATTGCATAGCTAACCATCAAGGGGAATTGCCTACGCATGAATGTGAAAGGTAGCCTCACATCTGTCGGGGTTCGACTAAACCTTGGGATAAGGAATTTCTCACCTGCATTAGTTCCAGACATCATCTGTGTCACAATAATATGTTCACCAAGTTTTGTCACTAAAAGTCGGGTACCATTACACAAGCCGACCGAATGATCTATATTCCTCATGAGCATCACCGGTACACCAACTTTTAGCTTCAACTCGTGACTTGGAACAACAGAACATTTTATGCCGTTAAGGAATTCGGGAGAATGAATTTCCTGAAGAAGCTCATTGTCTGAGGTTGAGGAACACGATGAATCTGAACTGAAATATGTCTTTTCCTCTGAGCTGTTCTGCAAC